GGTGGGAGTGGGTGTGTGTTTATATTTTAGAAAAATTTTGGAATTAGAAAAATATGGAAAACAATGATTATCGGTTTTCCAAAAATTTTCAACCTCTTTGTAATTTTAGAAAATGAAAAATTTTCATTTTCTGTGAAAATTTAGAAAATAGACGAACGAAACGTGTTTTCAAAATTCTCATTTTTCTTGGAAAATTCTTCCGTAAAACTGCCCATTTTTTCGCAACTAAACACAACCTTAGGGTGTGTTTGGTTGGGAAAATTGTTTTCATTTTCTAAGAAAATGTTTTCAGAAAATAGAGTTGAGTTTTCATTTTCAATTTTCAATGAAAATTTTAGAAAACGCGTTTGGTTGAAACCGAGGGAGTTTTCATTTTCCATCTTAGAAATTTGGAAAACTTTGGGAAACAGTAAAAATCACTTTTCTAATTTACATACAATTTGGAAAACTGAAAATTTTCATTTTCTTGGAAAATTTTGGAAAACTGAACAAACCAAACGCGTTTTCAAAATTTCTATTTTTCTTGGAAAATTTTCCTAGAAAACTGGAAAATTTTCCACAACCAAACGCACCCTTAATTTTTCTTAAAACAACTTAATTTTTCTTAAAACAATACTAACTAGTGTAGGGACCCATGCTTTGCATGGATCGGAAGGCATTTCTTTTCAGATTTGTTGGATATTGTGAAATACAATACCCTGATAAGAAAAGTTGAAAATAAGGTGCTAAAATAGGCATTTCTTTTCAGATTTGTTGGATATTGGGGTCCTCACACCGATAACTGTCATCAGATCTAATCCCAAATCCTCTTCGATCAGCAAACACATTTTCTAGCAGTTCGGTTCTTCAGGAGCATAGCAATGTGGAAAGTGTGATTTTCCAATCTCCTACCAGCTGTTTTGTTTAACAATAGGATATAGTCAAAGTTAGTCATTTCTCCACTCTACCAAAGAATAAACCCATTATTCCAATCTGTTCACTTCAAATCAGCATAGAGTTTACTTGACTGTCAACACCATAATCAATCTGTTAGTAATACGTTCGATGGAGAAATGCTACCTTTAAGGCATCAGGGTTGTAGTGAATTATGTTTGCCCAGGTGTAATGAGTTATTGGTTTCCTTTCCTTGTACTCCACATCTATGATAAAAATAAATGAAGAAAAAATTTATTCGTGGGAAACCATTTCACTAATTAGGTTAAGCAGAGAATAATTAAGTTGTAAGTTGCATAAAAGTTATTCGTTAGTTCCTTTTGTAGTAATTTCCAATGTACATATATGATGCATGTTCAAATACATTAATAATAACAACATTGAATTACTGATAGCATATGGTCTTAAACTCTATGGTGTTGAACTTGGACAAACCTGCATCACAAGTTAGATAACCATTGAGCCAGGTTCTTCAAATTCTAAAACCCATGATCCACCAAACAATTTCACCCTTAATTGTTTATTTTCACACCTTCATCTACAGATTCAAACCGAATAAAAAAAATTCCTATGTAAAGTCAATTAAGAAATGCCTTTGTTCATATTATTTTCAGTTGTTGCTGAAATGCAATCATAAGTTTACTCACCTAATATAGAACGTATATAAAGTACATAAAAAATAGAAGAGTATCCAAAGCCACATAAAACCTTAAAGTTGTTTGGATTTTACCATCGAACAACCAACAAAAAAACTAATTTACATACTGATAATACATCACAAAAGGAACGAACCCTGAGACATCATTCCAGAGAACCTGGTAGCACAGGCTCTTGACGATTGCTTAAGAAATGAAGATAAGAGACAAAACAATTCAAAATAACTCAATTTCACATTATAGTTGCTAAAAACCTAAATTTCAATCTGAAAGAATAAAACCAAAATCAATAATCTTGAGAAATTACCCCAAAAGTGTTGACGGAGGACCTTTGAAGATGGTCGACGATCTAATTAGAAAACGAAGGCAGCGACTCGGTGATGTACTCTCAAAAGAAGAAAGAGGCAAGACGGTCTTAGAAGGCTAGAGAGAGGTTGGATAGATTAAAAGCGGCGATACCTGGGTTAAATTGATTGCAGCGCATAGGAACCCTAGGACGAACACGTTGCAGGGATGACTAAATCGGGGAAGCAGGTTGTGTCTAAATCGGGAAAAATATGGAATAAATTAAGAAAAATCGATCTACAGGCGGTGGGTCTATGATTCTTCTATGGTCAATTGGGAATAGAAAGACGCGAAGCATGTCCATGGGAGATTGAGGTGTCGCCAAACGAAATAGAAGATAGTAGAACTTTTTTTGGTTGCGACTCGATTGAAAATCGAATAGAGAAGAAAGCAGACACACAAGAACCCGAAGTAGCATCTCACTTGACACCATTCTTAAAGCGGAGCAGCCCTAATCTTATGGTGGTGGGTCGGAGATGAGTTTAGAGGTTTTCTTTTGGTAGCGGTGGTACTTTTGAAGAACGGGACAGAGCTGGAGCGAAGTCATTGGGTGCAAAGGCGGTGAAGCAGACGGAAGACACGTTGTTTGTGTCACTGCAAAGTCATCGGCTCCAAACTACCACCTGGTATTGAAGCCGGTTTAATACTGACAACTGTGCATAAAGTCATCGGCTCCAAAATACACCTCGTATTGAAGCCGGCTCAATACCGCAACTGTGCATAAGCATGTTGGAAATTTATTATATATATATAATAATTAATGAGATCTATTAAAAACTTTTAAAAATATGTTAAAAACGTCCATTCTAGGTCATGACTCATGAAGGCTTGTGAGTAGAAGCCCAAATATAAAAAACTCGGGCTTCGACCCAACACAAGTTAGTACCAGTTGACCATGCATGGAATTTGAGCACCTCTACAATCATGTAGGCATATACTATTTCCATTGTTAATTTGTCATAACTCTCTCCACCCCAAAATAATGGCATACAAATCTAATATTAGGTGTGTGTGCATGAATAACATAAGTGGGGTACGCATAAGCCAAATCTATTGACAAAATTATTGATTCTAAATTAATATATTATATCATAAAAGGAGTAGCTAATGATGATAATAGATAGACAATGACATCCCACCTTAACACTCACTTTCATGGATTAAATGCATCCAAGAAGAACTTGCTTAATTAGCT